TTCTTCCTCTTCTTCCTCTTCGTGTTTCTCTTCTTCCTCGACAATTCCTTCTTCAATTCTGTGTTCACGAAGTACGGTGTTGCATGTTCTGTCCTTTCCGAGTACCTTCCAGATGGCGTCTATCTCTTCGAAGAAACGGTAGATGAGTCTGGCAAGGTCTCGGTTCTCTCTCGCGTAAATGCGCAAGGTTTCCGTCAAATCATTCAGGCATTTCTCATTGGAAGCTTGGTTCATGAGGACATCGGCTTTGAGCTTGGTCATCTCTTCCATAAGACTACTTTGGAGAGTCTTCACGGTGTTTGTCAGATGAGCTTTCAATTCAATTTGAATTTGAACTGGGCGCTTTCTGGCAACCTTGAAAGGACATCTGCCATTGTGTTCGGCTTCGGTGCTTGTTCGGACATCGAAAAAATGAAGTGGTTTGAGAATGACGGTTTTACTTCAAAAAGCTTGTTATGACAGTTATGTCATACAACAAGTTTAAAATAATATCTTGTTCTTCTTCTGAACGTTTGTTGTCTCTTCCGATAAAAGTTTCGAACATGAGAACCAAAAAACGTTTTTTGAGATTGCGGAAGAGTTCAGGCAAACGTTCATATTCTGGATATGTTGGGAGCAGTTCAAAACATCTGAGCTGACTTTCGGACAAAATTGGGACAATGTCAGAAAATTCATCTTTGGTCGGACTGCTTGAAGGTAAGTCCCTTACATGTAAGTAGCTCTGGTAAAGTCTTCTCATTTCTGCTAACTTTTGGAGTATAGCTTCGTAGTTTAGAAGTTTCAATTTTAATTGTCTTATTCCACTCTTTACTTCTAAACGGTAACTATCCATGAGGTCAAGAGTAGCTTTGGTAGCTTTAAGTGGAGCTATCTGTTCCTTGACTCCTGCAATTTTGGTTGCAATTGTGGTTTGAGCTCCTTCAAGTTCGCCGTCTATGTCGTTCTCAACGCCTTCAACCATGGCTTGAAACTCTTCATCGGTCCATTGAGATTGGTGTGGGACGAATTTAACTTGCTTCATTCAAAAAATGAAAAAAATGTTTTTACTCAAAGCGTGCCATGTATATGGCTATAAGAAACTTACCAGAAGGCTTCTTCTTCACATGAGTCTTTGGCAACTTGAGTGTTGGTGTTGGAGTTGGGTCTGGAATTTCAATTCTCTCTCGAGCGCAACAACAGATGTCAGAATAACATTCCCCACTGTCTTTCTTGCCACCATAAATTGTGTATTGACCGAACTTGCATTTGCAGGAAGACCGGTCAATACAAGGTTCACAGTTGAAATAGTTGTACACAAACCTGTTGAGTACGAGTGTGAGTAAAAACATAAAAAAAAGTGAAGTTAAAATGAGATGTTTACTGAACTGGCTGAAGAATTGGTTGGATGTCGCCTTCTGAGGTTATGAAGAACGGCTGTCCAGAGTAGTGAAGTAGTGCTCTGAGAATTTGTGTAATTCGTGGAATTGGGCTCTCACGATATGGAAGTAGTATCCAAGGACGTTTCATGAAGAACTTCAAGAGGGCTTCTTTCTTCACATCCTTAATATCATCGAATGCAGTGCCTTCTGGAACTTGAATTGCAACACCTGTTTCAATTTCCAACTTTAAGACACTATTCTTGGACAACCAGAAGCCAATGGACTTGCTTGGTTTGCACTTGCTGAGATATTCCTTCACGGTTTCATTTACCTCAATTAGATAAATTGCTTCGTCTAAGGGGTCAAGCTCCATACTGAGTCAGTACAATATTGTACTTTTTCAAGACAATGTTGTACTTTTTCAAGACAATGTTGTACTTTTTCAAGACAATATTGTACTTTTTCAGAACAATGTTGTACTTTTTCAGAACAATGTTGTATAAATTCAGTACAATGTCTCTCAAATTTGAGTACAGCTGTACTTTTTCAGAACAAGTCTTGAACTTTTTCAGAACAATGTTGTACTTTTTCAAGACAATGTTGTACTTTTTCAAGACAATGTTGTACTTTTTCAAGACAATGTTGTACTTTTTCAAGACAATATTATATTGTTTCAGAACAAAGACGGTTAAGACACAAACGAATGTCCGACGTCCCACCTACTGAACCCGTTCCACAGCCAGAGGAACAGCATGCTCCAGCACCACAACAGTCTCCTCAGCAACCTCAGTTCCAACAAGGACCTCCGAATTACTACCAATTTCCACCTCAAGGTTACTACCCACCACAAGGCTTTCCAAACTACCCACCACAAGGCTTTCCAAACTACCCTCCTCAACCCATGCCTTACTTCCCTAACCCTTGGATGTTCATGTCAAACCCTCCACCCCAATTCCAATCTCAATCCCAATCGAAGAGAGACCAAGAGTTCGAAGAAGGTCTGAACCGTTTACGCAAAGAGTATGCCACAGCCCCTATGGAAGATGACAGGCTTTCAGTCTCTTCCCTAAGGTCGACCAATTCGACTCGTACCACAGATTCGGTTCGTGACCGTGAAGACTACCTCAAGCAGTCTGAGAGACTCTTCATCTTACAGCCATTTACAGTTGGAGCTCTCAAGAACATGCGCAATTACGAAGGTCAGACACCAGCTGGAGACCGCAAAACAGACGTACTCGCAAGAGCAGTCCAACTGGTCAAGACAAAGACTGAGATAGTCGACTTCATTCTTGCAGCTTGCCCATACAAGTAAAAAAATAAACAATTACGAGTTAAACTTTTTACTCTTTCTTTTCTGAGTTGTTTAGAGCTGGTTTCTCTTGTAGAAACCTTTCGTACTCTTCCATGGTCATGTAATTGCGAATTTGGTACGCAATTCCAGGTTCGTTGTTTTTGAACCTTACGTATGTAACGCTTCCATCCTCCTCAGGGAAGTAAGCTGCTAACATCTGACCAAGTTTTCTCGGTGACTCGGAGCTCATAAAAATGTCACTTTTTAAACGTTAAGTTTTTAGTCTTATTTTACCCTTTGTTTACCCTTTGTTTGTCAAGGTAGTATTGGAGTGCAATTTCTCCAAATTCTCTGTGTCGGAGTTCTTCAGCATTTTCCAAGGTGTACCTGGAGAACTCAAAGAAGTTGTCAAGAAGATACTGCCATGCTGCTCTTCTGAGTTCGTCGGTATTTTGGAAGTGTTGCACCTTCGAGTCTTCGGACATGAAAAAATTACACTTTTTCTATTAAACCGTTTTGGCATTTCTCATGAGTGAGTATAGTTCTCCCGAACCATTGGAAGAGAAGAAGTACCCTTGCTGGCAAAAGACAAAAATAGTTGCCTTAGTTGTCATTGCAATTGTACTCGTAATTGAATTCATTGTACTTCTCTTCACGTACATAAAACTCAAGGACGGCATATGCTTTAAGAAGCTACCATCTTACTAAGACTAAACACTTAGATTTTTCAAGCTTGACTTTTTACAATTTGAACTTTGTTGCTGAATTCAATAAAAATATATTTTAGGTGAAGAGGTGAGATTTCACCTCTTTTTTCACCTCTTTTTTCACCTCATGAATTTTCATGATTTCATCGTAAATGTTTTGTCAAACATGAACGTAAATGTTTTGTCGAAACTTCATCGTAATGAGCGTAAATCAGACAAAAATATATTTTAGGTGAAGAGGTGAGATTTCACCTCTTTTTTCACCTCTTTTTTCACCTCATGAATTTTCCCGAAATAAAAAATAAAGTTGGTTTTTTTAAAAAAATATTTTTTTTTTTATTGTAAGAACATGTTAGCAACAACAGCACCAAACTCTTTAGTCATGAACCCAACTTCAATGTTAGTAGAGATGAAAAGCTTCATTCCTTCTTCATATACTTTCGAAACAACAATCCAGAAGATAAAGCAAGAACTTCTCCAAGGAGATTTAGACTGTAGTGCGAAAGATGAAACAAATGAACAGTATCTTTATGAAATGCAGGATATTATTGACCATCTACCTAAACTTCCTGAAATACAACAACAAAAGCTTACTATTCCTGAATTCGATGAAATAGAAGTCAAAGCAACTGACTCGGTAGAAATAAAGAAGTTCATACGAAAGGTAAACTATGAGTTTCTTGGATTTCATTGCAACCACAAAGTCATGGACAAAGACTGCGATATGGTATATAAAAATGTTTCTGACTATATAATCTGAAGAATTTAAGACCTACGACAACTTTGTTTCGTTAGTTGCAAAATGTGTATGGCAGATAAGAGATAAAGATAGAAGAGGTAAAGTATGGAACGAACAAATAAAACCAGCAACTTTTGAGTTAAAGAAAACCATTGACGCCTTAGTTGTACTTGCAGGTCAAATTTCAATGTACAATGCTAAAATGAACCCACAATGTTCTAAATGTAAAGCAGCAATGAGGAAATATAACTACTCCGTCAAAGAGATAGAACGTATGCGAAACGACTATGCAGATTTAAAGAAAGAAGCAGAGAAACCAGCAGAAGATAAAATGGACATGTTGACATTTCTGAACAAAAACTATCCAACTGCTGACGATTTCCTTCTATCTGACGTCAAGAAGAAGTATAAAGAAACTTTCGGTATCGTTAAAACATTCGATGTACTGACAGAAGAAATAGAAGCTACGAAATTGTTTAGGATTTCAAATATACATCATACAATTCATGTAAAACGCTTATAAAATAACAGGTGAAAAAAGAGGTGAAAAAAGAGGTGAAATCTCACCTCTTCACCTAAAATATATTTTTATTGAATTCAGCAACAAAATTCTGAGTAAAATAATTTTTAGGGCTTGTGTCAAACCGTTGAGTTTTCACAAAATTTAAAAAATAACGTTTACCATGTGAAACGCTTATAAAATAACTGAGGTGAAAAAACAGGTGAAAAAAGAGGTGAAATCTCACCTCTTCACCTAAAATATATTTTTGCTGAAAAATGACCAAATTTCATGAAATTTCTCTAGACCGACTTTTACAGGGGTAGCCAAAACTCATGAAAATCGTGAAAAATAACAGAGTATTTTGACAACTTCAAACAAGTAGAGTAGATGAACTCTTTATTTTTCAAGCTTGACTTTTTACAATTTGAACTTTGTTCGCGTAGATGTGAATTCTGAAAGAAGTATGAGGGTCTTGTATGACTTTGTACTTCTCCCAGAGTTCATGTCTGTCAAACTTACCTGCCATGGACTCTTTCATAAGTTCCATGAAATCGTCTTCGGACAATCCAGGGAAAAGTATGATATCAGTAAGTATTCTCTTTACATCCTTACTTAAACTCTTTGCTGTCTGTACACAAATGACAACTGAGATGTTAAAGTGTCTGAGCTTCTTAAGAATTCGACACATATCTTGTTCTCTGTTCTTTAACAAAGGATGAGAGGCGAAATCATCTAAGATAAGAAGACATCTGTGAGGGTAAGTCTTCCAATCGTAAGATTGCAATTTCTTCGAAATGTATTCTATCTCTTTCTGTTTGTTTCTGAAGTGTTTCTTCTCTAATATTCTCTGCATTTCCTCATTTGGGTCTTTAAACTTCGAATTGACATACTCATTTATAGCATTGTACTTCAAAACTCTTCTTTGGTACTTCTTTATCCAATCTAACAACTCAGAGTCTTTTATACATACTAACTTAGACTTCTTTATAATATCTTTGAACGAATTTACGGTTTGGTCAAATTGACCAGAAGTACTACAAATGACTACTAACTCATAGAATGGGTTCTTCTCATCTAGTTCTTGTTGTTGTGCAGCCATTTTAAGATAAGTGAAAGTCTTACCCGACCCAGGTGGTGCAATTAGACCTGTTATACCATTCTGAGCAAATAAGAACTTGTCATGTATGGGTTTTATCTGAGCATTTTCTAACTTTCTCTTGTTCTTGTTTAAAACATTCTCAAATTTCTTGTCAATGTCAGCAAACTTTTTTTCTAACATATTTTTAGAAAAATTAAAATTTTTATCTTTTAGAAAATGTCTAGCGATTTCGCTATCTATATTCGAGACAAACTTTTCGACTGCAAAACTTCTGTCGACCATAAAATCTTACATAGTGTAAACAAGAAAGGGGAATTTGTTCTAAAGTTCTGTTTCTGGGAATATGACAAGAACCATAAAACATTACAAAGAGCAGTCTTAAAATTTGTCAATGACAGACTTGTTGACAGAGATGACGCCGATTGGAAAGATGAAGTCCAACAAAAGTTCTTAGAATGCAAAGAAGGCACATGCGCTGTTCTTGAAGATGAAATAGAAAACAGAATAGAAGAGCTATTAAAGGACAAAGAACTTTTACATAAATATGGTTCGGAGAAATTTGACATAACTCCACCAGAAAAGAAGAAGAAGAGAGAAAAGAAAGAAAAGAAAGTAGAAGAAGAGAAGAAAGAACCTGAACCAGTTCCAGAGAAAAAGAAATTTGACATGTAAAAATAAAATTTTATTTTTAGAACATTTCTGGGTCAATGTCAATGTTCTCTTCCTCTTTAGGAGCAAACACTGGCTTAGACTCTAAAATCTTTTTACCCAATTTACCTTGAACTTCAACTATCTTAGACTCATAATATTCATAGTCGTCTGCTTTCTTTGGTTCATAAGGTATAACAAGTTTGTATGCTTTGCCTTCTTTAAGGTTTGAGAACCTTCTGTCAAAATTTTCTTTGACTGCTAACAAACCTTCTATGTCTAAGTCTTCAAATTTCGCACCATTTTTAGTCACAATAGCAAACTTAACTGGTTCGATGTTCCAAACTTTGTCAAATGTAGACTTTTCAAAATGGTAGAAGTAAACATTCAAATAAGCGAATGGGTCTAGTTCTTCTTTAAGTCCTGACATGTACTTGTTGACTGAGATGAATTTCGTCATCTTTTCTATCGGATAAAAAAATATTTTTTAAAAATTTACTCAGAAAAATTTTTCTTTGTATATACGCCGTTCTGTATGTCTAAAAGATTTTTGACATTTGCCAAGAATGTTCGTTTAGATGCTGTCATATAACCATACTCTTGACAATATTGTTTATACGAGTCGTACAAAGACCTTTCATCTAAACACTCAAAGTTAGTCTCATCTATAAACAGTTCATATACACTCTTGTTTGCTTCTAACAATGTTTGTCTTTCTTCGGTATGTGGAATTTGTCTTGGATTGAACTTAGAAATATCTAATGTCATAAAATATGAGAACAAGTGGTTGTAAAAGTTAGGTGTCAAAGTTTCTGCTAAGTCGTCAAAATATTCTGTATCTTGCATATGAGAATCTGACGTTCTGACAACTACATATCTTCTGTCAGAACTTTCTAACTTCATCGGAACAGCGTTGTTTGAAACCATGACGAAGTTTGCAACATTTTCACAAACTCTTTGGTCTTTATATTTTCTTTCAACAACTCCAACTTTGTCTGTTATAAGACTCTTCAAAGCATCTGAGTTCAAAACTTTTGTTGTATCTATACTTTGAAGTTCGTTACATACTATAAGTTTCATATTCTCTATTGAAGAGTTAAATTTACCGCAGATGTTTTCTAAGTTTGTCATATTAGGGTTCGAATAGCCCTCTAACAGTTTGCACAAAATATCTGTAAAGAAAGTGTTCTTACCAGTTCCTTGTTTTCCAATTATGATGAGAGCAGTTTCATTTTTAGCACTTGGATGTTGTAAGATGTTTGCAAACCAACATAAGATATACTCATAGACTCTTTCGTTTCCATTGCATATAATTTCTTTGACATGGTCTAACCAAGCTTCTATAACATTTTCTTTCCATTCTACTTGTTCGTATTTATATCCAGTGAAGATAGAATAGAAGTTTGGAGATGGTGTATAGAACTTTATACCTCGAACTGAAAAATCTTCTAACTTTGACAATAAGATATCCCAAGCATCTAACATCTTCATGCCAACTTGTACGACTTTTATTTTCTTAAGTTTTTGTCTACATTCTTGTTCTGAAACTATTGTCGCTCTTGGTTTGTTAAAGACAACATCCCATTCTTTCATGACATAACATTCTGGGGCAGAGTCAACATAAATGACTAAACGTTTCAAATTCTCGACTGCTTTGTTATAGTCTCTAAATGGACACATATTTCTGAAGGCTTGGAAGTCATAAAAATCTGAAACGTCTATTCTGTACATTTTTATAAAAATAAAAAAAAATATTTTTTTATTCTTGACTTTGTTGTTGCATTTGTTCCATTTGTTGCATTTGTTGTTCTTGAGCTATTTGTTGTTGAAGTTGTTCTTGTAGTACAATACTTTCACCAGTTGCATCTTCCAATTCGAAACTTTCTGCCGTCATTGACAAATACATAGGACATAAAAGTTTTACAGGAACAAAGTTTGCGTCGACTAAGGTTAAGTTTATGTTTGCTAAAGTGTTTGAGTTTACTAAAGCTGAAAACTCTGCATTCGAATGAACAATAGGCAAACCAGCAGAGAAAGTGTTGTTTATACGCATGAGTATTTTTGGTCATAGTAGTTTCTGTCGACATTCGAATAGCACTTTGAACCTAAGTTTGAAACAATATATAAAATAGGTGTACTTAAAGTCAATGGAACAGAGACCTTGTATGACACCTTTTCCTGTTATAGGAAACTGTTGGTAGTAAAAACCAGATATAAGTTTTGTATTATAGCTCATATCGTTTATAGTAAACTCAGTCGGACATCCAAACATAATGAAACCTGCTCTAGTTGCAGCACATGTTACATCCGTCCTTAAAGTATTAAATAAGTCAACAAAACCTGTTGGTGGTATATCTGAGTAAGTATCTTCAAAGAAGTATTTTTTACCATTCACAACAACAAAGTCTTCTGGTGTCAAAAGAGCAAAACAGGCTTTAGTCGTCATTGTGTTTAAGTTAGTTTACAATACCGTCCTTGAGGACTTTGTAAGTTTGTTGTTATAGAATTATATGACTCAGGGTTTTTAGTCGTAATAGTATAAACCACTATGTCTTCTGCCATTTACTTAGCAAAAATTTTAATGAAATGTTGTGGTCGTCAAATATTTTTATGACGTCTGGGAAACTATATTTTAAGTTCAACGTTTCACCTCCTTTCATAACGTATATCTTGTCAATGACATTATATGAAACACCACAGCAAGCAATGTCGGGTTCTATTTCTTTGATGTTTATATCGTCTGCCTCTGTCAAAAGTTTCAATAGTTCTTTCAAAATTTCATGAGGTGCGATGACATATGAGTTCACTTTTACAGGGTTGTGTTCGACCAAGTTTAACATTATACCCAAAGCTTGACAAATCTTCTCCTGAGTTTTAAGTTTGTCTTTAAGTTGTTGGTAGTCGTTTCGAATATCTGCAACAGAACTTAAGTCTCTGCTAACTTCAGGATATGTTGGTTGTTCTTTTACAGGAACTATTGTTATACCATTTCGTCTTCGTATGGTTTCCCCACTTCAACATCTCTTTCTTTGACATTGACAACAACACTTTGACTGTTTGTTTGAGTTGGTGAATTTAACTTCACATCTGCCACCGCCATTAAACCTTTTGAAACACTTACGCTTCTATTTTTCGGAAATGACATTTTACTTAGAATAAAAAGATGGACGTATTTGAGTATCTCTTCGAATTGAAGCAAAACAAAGTTTACACACACAAACAATACAAGTTCATTGACAGAGTAGTTCTTTATACAAACAATGGAAAATGTTATAGAATAGCAGTCTTTGCTGAACCAAAATATTTTCATAAAGCAAAGAAAGTTGGTATAACCGAGATGGTGAAAGTTCTTGAAGCAGACAAAAATATAACAACAAAACTGACCGATATTTCTAAAGGTAAGTTTATAATACAAATTTATATCAAAACTGGCGTACTGTCAATATTTGACGGAGAGAAGTCAGTTCAAGAACAACTTACTGACCTGCTGCCAAAATCTGCTCGATGGAAGCTGTCGTTATACCAATCTGAGGAGCCCCAGCAGGTTTCATCGAACGAATTTTCAAAAGAGCATCTTCCGTGAAAAGTGCTATTGGTTTTGTAAACTTCTTTGCTTTCAATTCATTGGACCGTCTCTGTCACCAGTATATTGTATTTGAACTGTACCAACAGTTGAAATACCACCCATAAAGTCTTCTGAGTCAGCAAATGGAATGCCAAGCCAAAAAGTTTGAACGGTCTCCATTTGTATATTGAGTGTTTTTGAGCTCCTGTATGAGTCCATACTTTCACATATGGCATAATAGAACTTTGCATTTCAGGGTTAATGGTTGTTGTGAAGTTGTTGTTAAAGTTCATAGCATCTAATGTCAAGTTGTATGACCTCATATCCTCAACTGTAGAATATTCTTCTCTTGGATAGTATTTGCCATCTATGTTTATATGGTATTTAATACCAGGGTTGTAGAAGCAAGAATAGTCATTTATAGTTCGTCTGAACAGTACAAACATAGTATCTGCATGTTTCATTGCAGTTGTTAAGCAATATCTGTTCTTGCACCTGGGTCAGCACTTTGGTTTCCAACTTCACCTGCAAAGTCTTTGACAGATATTTGGTGTATAGGGAACATAAGTGGAACTGCAATATATTTGGCAGCTAAAGCATTTGAAATATCTGGGTCCAACATATAGACTGCAAGTCTGCTTTCTATTCTCTTGCATTCAAACTTTTCGCATGTGAACTTAACTGGGTCCCAAGCAGTTCCAGCAGCATTGAAGTAGTAGTTTACTTCAGTGTTGAGGTTTGAGAAACCAAAGTCTAAGTCAACTTTGTCTTTGCAAAAGTTCGGCGAATGACGTTTGATTTGCTCCCTTTACGTCTGTAAGAGTGAATGGGTCTTGTGTTGGTGCAATGACTAAGTTATTTTTGCTTGGAGTAAGTTCGATAGAAATTTTTCCTGCCCAGTTTGGCAAGTATCTTAAAAACCTGAAGATGAGGAAAGATGACAAAGGAACTCTAAGTTTCAATTTTACTTTGGTTACTGCTGCTGCAGTTTGTCCAGAAAGGTTAACATAAACTCCTGGAACGTTAGGGTCAAGTCTTCTTATTTTCTCAATAGTTGCATACTGGTCTGTTTGTTCTCTAGCTTGTGGTTGTACTGAGTTTCTCAAAGCGAACCATTCATAGTTTGCCCAGGTTACTGTTTGAACTAAGTCAGAGTTAGAATATATCTTATATCCATGAAAACTTCTGGAGCATATTGGTATCCGACATAGAAAATTCCATTGCAACCTTTCTTGTCAGACAACTTGGCAGAAGGTTTTATTTCAATGTCTTGTTCCACGTATAAGAAAGAGTTGTCAATAGAAATTATATGAAACCTGTCGCAAGCAATATCTACTGTTGTTGAAGAACCTTCTCCAAACTCACCTACGTTTCCATAAGAAACAGCAGTTGTATATTCGTAAGTTCCAGGAACTATTTCTGACCTTCTAATGGCATTGTCGCATTCGTTATACCATTCGGAAACATTTCCATTCATAGCATCCAAAACTGTTGGCGTTATATTCTGAGCGGCGTACATTTCATATGAGTAAAAATATAGAATAGTTGGATTTATATGTCATAATAGAACCCACGTGGACCAAGCTTTACTTTCTTCCTGACTGATTTTTTAACTTCTTTTTCCTTCATTGCCCTCTGCTTTAAGTTGTTGCATCTTTGCCTCATGTTCACCTAGTATGTTGTAAATTTCCCATGTCCTTTTTGCCTTTTGGCTCTGGTCGCCCATCTCAGGTAACCTATATCCTAGAAAGAGTTTGTCATAGTCTGTATTTGAGTCTTTGCGTATTGTTTGCATGACTCTTTCCTGAGTTTCTGGTTCAAGCTCTTCAAACAGAGCTTGTCCATATGGAATAAGCTCGTTTCCAAATATATGTTTTTGTAGCCATTCTGGTTTTCTTTCCATGTTACCAACTATATCTTTTGTGAATGGGAAAGCTTTTACCCAATCTTTCAGTCTTGCGTCGTTTATTTCTGTAGTTGGTTTTATTTTGTCAAGGAACATGTTTTTCAATACTAACATTTCATTTGGTACTGTCCATTTGAGTTTTCTTAAATATTCATCCCTTCTCGGTTCATTGTCTGCAAAGTAAGTTTTTATGACATTTTGTAAACTTTCGTTTGCAAGGTCATGTACAATAGGTTCTCTTCCTTCTCCCTCCCTAACTTTCTTTCTAAACTCTTCACCAAATATACCATCTCTATGGTTCTGTGTAGTTCTTTGAGATAAATGTTCTAGAACGTCAGGTGTTATATTTCCATCAGCCATGTTCATTTCATACTGGTTCAAAATATCTGCATCTTTCATATCTTTCAATGGCATTAAAGCCGCGCTGAAAATACCAGCTATATCTGGTTCACCATTCACTTCCATTGCGTCTACAACTTCTTGGAATTGTGGTTGTAAGTTTATGAACCACCTATCTGGATTAGCTTTATGACCCCATCTCATTGTAGTTCCATCGTCTGCAGAAACAAAAGTAGGTTTGTTTCCATCTTGGTTAGGTTCTGAATGAACTTTAAACAATGTTTCATTTCTATATGTTTTCTTGAAATTTAACCTTTTATCTTCACCGAGTTCATCCGAAGATTGAACGTTAAATGCTCGTAAGTAAAAAGGGTTGTTGTATTTGTGTACATTTTCTTTCAGTGCTTCCATTCTATGCCGAATATTTTCATCTGATGTTGGAGTCTTTTGTATGTCGGCAAACATTTTTCGATATTCTTCTACTATGTCAGCCGAATTTTTTTTAGACTCTTGGAAATATTCCATATTCTCCGCATACTCTTGTTGAGGGTCAAGATTTTTCGGCTGTTCCAAATCTTCATCTAGTTCTGTGAAGTTAGTTTCCAAAGGAGTGACTTGTTCGTTTCCTTCAGGCTCTTCTAGCTGTTGTTGCTGAACTATTTCTTCCATGTCTGGTTGTATCTGAACTATTTCTTCCTGTGGAGTTTCTTGTACCTCATCTGCTGGCATTTCATATATTCCGAGACCGTTTTCAACAATTTCCCTATCTACGTCATCCGCATTCATAAGCTTTTGTTCTTTCGTTCCGTCTCTATTTTTTACGCGTTTCATGACGAAAGTTGAATTGTCATTTAGCTCTGACATCAAATATCTCGGAGTAAATTCGTTCATGTCATTTGGATGATATGCTATTAAATCATATCCCTTAGCGAGCTTGTATTTTCCAGGTTTGAGATTATATCCGTTTTGGTGTTGAGCCATAAAGCTAAATAGGTTCGGGTCAGTATTTCCATCCTTGAACTTTCCAATAGCTTCTTTATATCTGTCACTAAAGTCAACAGTATCTGGGAAACCACACTCTTCTTTAAGCATTTTTAAGAATTCTTGGTTTCCTTGTTCTCTACTTCTTTTATGTCCTTGCTCTGTTTGTGGTTGTTGTTGTGCAGTGTTTTGAACTGTTGGTTGTGGTGCAGTGTTTTGAACTGTTGGTTGTGGTGCAGTGTTTTGAACTGTTGGTTGTGGTGCAGTGTTTTGAACTGTTGGTTGCTGTGCTGGTTGTGGTTGTGCTGGATTTTGAACTGTTGGTTGTTGTGTTGGTTTTGGTGCATGCCTGTGTCTGTGTCCATGTGACGATGTAAATGTTTTAGGTAGTCCTGGTGCAGGTGCTTCTCTTGGAGGGTTGGTGGTATATAAGTTCCACTAGCTAGTATATAAGTTCCACCAGCTGGTATATAAGTTCCACCAGCTGGCACATATGTTCCATCTGCAGCGTAATGTCCTACCTGACTTTTCGTTCTTAAGAAAGCATTTACTAGGTCTGTTTTGGTCTGTTGTAACTCTTTTTCTTGACTTTTCACAACAGTTGCTCTAACGGCGTCATAGGCACTTTGAACTGCCTGTCTCGTTGCTGCATCTGTTATTTTCGTCATATTTTGTGCTACTTCTTTTAACTCTTTGTCGAAACCTTCAGACTTCAGTTTCTTTCCAGATGAGAAGTCGTTCACTTGTTTCACCTTACTATGAAGAGCTTCGAAAGCGTTCTTAAAGTCAGCATTTGTTAAAGCTTCATTTGAACTGTCTTCATCCGCTTGTATTTTTGTCCTTATTGACCCTATGAGTTGGGCTGCTTTAGCGTTGGCTTGGGCATCTAACCAGTCATTGTTAGCTTTTATATATTCTGCGCTTTTCATTGCCTTTTGCATAGCCGCGTCGTTATTTTTACTTTCTTGTGCTAAGTTTTCATACTGTACGGTTTGGTTTTGCAACTGTAAAAGTTTTTCTGCCTTTACATTTGCTTCAACTTCTTTTTTATACTCATCGCTATCCATATATGTCTTCAGGGCTTTTTGTTTTATTTCTTCATCTTTCAGTACTTTATATTGAGTAGTATGGTTTTTCAAATTTAAAACATCTTGTTCCATTTTTGCTACTTCTGCTGCTTTTTCTGACACTTTTTTCGCATATTGCTCTGTACTTAGTTCTTTCAGTTGTTCTTCTTTCTTCTTTTTCTCTACGTTTAACTCATTGAGTTTCTTTGTGTGTCTGTCATATTCTAGTTTCTTTTCGTTTTCACTTAGTTGTTTCTGTATGTCTATGTTTGACTTTTTGACATCTGATATTTGATTTTTGAGTGAACTCAAATTCATTTGACTTTGAGGGTTATAGGCTGTTCCGTCTGCAGCTCCACCATAGCCTGCCATTTTCGCTAAAAGTGCCGCTCTTAAACCTCCACTCTGTGCACCAACAACTCGGTTTAAAAGCATAGGATTGCTTGACATTTGTTGCAACATAGTGGGGTCATTCAGCATTTGTTGTTGCAACTGTTGTTGTGGTGTTAGTCTTACTATTGGATGTTTCAATGCTCTCTTCCTCTTACGTATATTCTTACGTAGCTTACGTGGCATTTTAAGTGAAGTTAAAAAGCGGTTTTTGACAGATGTTTATTGTGACTTCTTCGTAAAGACTTTGTTAAGACTTCTTCGTAAAGACTTTGTTAAGACTTCTTCGTAAATGACCAAAAATATATTTTAGGTGAAGAGGTGAGATTTCACCTCTTTTTTCACCTCATTTCTCACCTCTTGAATTTTCATGAATTTCTTCGTAAAGACTTTGTTAAGACTTCTTCGTAAAGACTTTGTTAAGACTTCTTCGTAAAGACTTTGTTGAGATTTCTTCGTAAAGACTTTGTTGAGATTTCTTCGTAAATGACCCTAGTAGTATATTTTTGGTGTAAATTTCATGAAAATTCAAGAGGGTGAAAAATTAGGTGAAAAAACAGGTGAAATCTCACCTCTTCACCTAAACATTATTTTTGGTGTAAATTTCATGAAAATTCAAGAGGGTGAAAAATTAGGTGAAAAAACAGGTGAAATCTCACCTCTTCACCTAAACATTATTTTTGGTGTAAATTTCATGAAAATTCACGAGGTGAAAAATTAGGTGAAAAAACAGGTGAAATCTCACCTCTTCACCTAAACATTATTTTTGGTGTAAATTTCATGAAAATTCACGAGGTGAAAAATTAGGTGAAAAAACAGGTGAAATCTCACCTCTTCACCTAAAATATATTTTTGGTGTAAATTTCATGAAAATTCAAGAGGTGAGAAATGAGGTGAAAAAACAGGTGAAATCTCACCTCTTCACCTAAACATTATTTTTGTCTGATTTTACGAAGAAGTCTTGACAAAACATTTACGAAGAAGTCTTGACAAAACATTTACGAAGAAGTCTTGACAAAACATTTACGAAGAAGTCTTGACAAAACATTTACGAAGAAGAAGTCTTGACAAAACATGAAAACATATATAATTTGTGAAAAGTGAAACATTATATAATGTTTTCGACCAAGAAGACTAACAATTTTCCGAATAAAAACTTCATTTATACTAAACATCTTCGGGGCTAGAAGGGGCGCAGCCCCTGGAAGCCCCACTCCCTTTTTTTTTTTTTTTTTTTTTTATTAACTGAATATCTCTCTTCAACACGTTCTCTTCTAATACCCGACAATTGTAATAAACAGAAATTCATCAAAAGTGACAGCTCTCAATTTTTTGACATTTGTAAATTCTAAATTGAATGAGAATAAGAAACATCTGGCGGTTACTCTCAATTTGAATCTTACTCAATTCAGTTATTACATCTTGCTTATAAATCTTATTTATCTCCATCACCATTCAATTGGCAAACCCAAATTTTAGCTAAAAGTGACAGGGGAAAAAACGTTTAGTATTAAAAAAAAAGACCGATGAGAGCTTCGTTCGAAATATAGAGGGAACTGAGAATGCGCAACCATTCTCAGGGAATATTGGATGCTATTCCCGTTCCCTCTGTATGGAAAATTGAGGTTTTCAAAGGGAGTTAAAATAATATCAAATTTATACTAATTTACTTCAAAATACAAAAGTATTTGACAGCTAAAATTAGTTACTTTAGCAAGCCTATCAATACCCTTTTACGATTATTGCTACTTTTTCGAAATAAAAGTAAAAACAAATTTATACTAATTTACTTCAAAATACAAAAGTATTTGACAGCTAAAATTAGTTACTTTAGCAAGCCTATCAATACCCTTTTACGATTATTGCTACTTTTTCGAAATAAAAGTAAAAACAAATTTATACTAATTTACTTCAAAATACAAAAGTATTTGACAGCTAAAATTAGTTACTTTAGCAAGCCTATCAATACCCTTTTACGATTCTTGCTACTTTTTCGAAATAAAAGTAAAAACAAATTTATACTAATTTACTTCAAAATACAAAAGTATTTGACAGCTAAAATTAGTTACTTTAGCAAGCCTATCAATACCCTTTTACGATTATTGCTACTTTTTCGAAATAAAATAAATTTATTATCAAAAACCTTTTTTTTCTTAGTAAAAATAAACGAAATTTTTTACCTTATGAACTTTTGATGGAAATATGCAAATTTAAAATAATAAAGAAAGCCGCGAGCGAAGCGATCGGCTTAGTTCGAAGATTTTGATTCAAATCTTTGCTGATCTGTAATTCGCGGAAGCCGCGAGCGAATCGAGCGGCTTAGGTCTAAGATTTTGATTCAAATCTTTGCTTATATTCCTTAAATTCTTTATGAAACTCGCAACAGTTCCATAAAAAATGTTAAATTCTAAACTGTCGAAATTACCGATCGGTAATCACACCCTTCACGGGTGTGTCACTTTTTACAGGTGTGTCACTTTTAGCTAAAATTACCCCTACTCCCATTCAATTTGGAATCTCATTTTTAAAATATCTTAATATAATCCGAATTTTATTAGTAGGTTAAATATTTGCGAATATTAATTATTTGGATCAAAGCTTTCATACGATTACATTAATTTTTTTAATCGAAATTCTATTTCATTACTACCCAATTTTAAATCATAGCAGCATTAATAGCTCATCTACTTATATTCCATCATAATGTTATTTTATTCAATTTTTATATATCTGATTTTCATATTTTTTCAAATTCTGTCGCAAAATCTTTAAAATTGTTATATTTCCTTACAACACGGCTAATATAGTATTCTCCTTAACTTGTTTAAATGCAATTTTGCAATATTTGGAAATGATCAAAATATCCTAATGTAAACGTTTGCTCTTAGAATTCAGTGTCATAGTCGATTGTTTCTAACAAATTAATCTTTTTTGCATTGATTTTCGAAGTATTGCATTTTCATTACGGCCAAATCTGCTCTCTTTCATTAGATTGATAGCTCACAATAGTTCTTGTAATCAGAGAGGAAATATCTTACGAAATATACCTCTAAATTTTCACTTTATAGATAAATGTTATATTTTTCCGTTACTCGATTATTGTCCAATAAAACCACGATCATATTAAACTTCGTCCAAAATAAACAATATAGAATAGTTTTTAAGTTTCTTAAACGGTTTATGAAGGTTCATATTTAATCGATTTTTTTATTTTCAATTCATGTATCTATAGTTCGTTAGTCTATCATCCCTTCATAAATTATCTGCAAAGAATTTTGTAGAATCTCAACTCTGTGAGGAACTACAATAAATTGAAAAGTCATTTTGTGATATCAAAATCCAATATATTATTCTTTCTAATACATATTAATAATATCTTGAGATGTAGTACACTATATATATACTTTCAAAAATCTTATATGTTTATTAGTTATTGAGATAGAAGCGATTTAATTCTTTGAAAATCGACGAAAAGTGCCATATTCATAAAATTATAGGGTATATTATTTTTTAGTCATAAGAATAAAAATATAGTAGTTATAAAAGGAATTAGACTTCATATATCAATTCTTTTTCTCTGTAGATGTGGAACGTTTGCTTTTCGATCTCTTTCGATGAACTTGAAAATATAAGTTATTATCGCTGAGAATCCTTTCCGAAATAGGAGCTTTACGTTTAGGAGGATTGTCGGATGAATTTTGTTTTTTATTGTTTGATTTTGTTGTTATGGAAGATTTTTTCTTATTTTTTCGGAATTTTGCTTGCTATTAACTGAAACTTGTTTTGACGGCCCAACAATAGCATTTGTAGTAGGAAGAATTCCCAATAACGAGCGCATTTTCGATAATTGTTTTTCAATATGATCAAGAAGGTCCAGCTTATGTTCTAGATTACTAGACATTTGATTT